CTATTCCTTTAAGCTCTAGATGCTGCAAGGCTGCAGGCGACAGGTGGATGAAGGGTCACAGAGAGAAGACTGAGGAGCTCACCTTCCAACCCAACAGGTCTGCGAGAGCCAAGCAGCCGTCGTCACACGTACTGATGTGAGCAACATCTCTGGAAGCAGAAACAACAAGACAAGTCAGGATGTGAAGCCGACTCACCAATCCTCATTTCCCAACCTCACAAAATCAAACGGAAGCACAAGTCATCAAATTTACTTTGTCTGTGTAATATTGTTTATCCGAGTTCTGATTTAAGGTATTTTTTTAGCAAAAAAGCTGTTTAATAACAGGATTAACTAGAAAGAAAAAATACTATGAATAAAATCAATGAATGTATCTAAGCTCTAATATATCGGTCTTAGACATTTTTATCACTATTGTTTGTCTAAGTCTATTGGCCAAAGTGGCTAATTAAACTTTATGTAAATTACTTTAAAACATGAAAAATAAAGCAATTTAAAGCAGACAGGTAAACTGATCCATTACTATTTACCAGACTCTAAAATTATAAAGGAAAAGGTTTCTGGTGTCAGTAACTTTAATTAGTTTTCTAATTAATCAACCATTAAGAAGAAGAACCATTAAGAAGCCCAATTTGAACAAGTTTTATTTTAATCAATTTGTTGTGATTCTAAAGGTAAATGTATCCACTGTAACATCTCTAATGAAGATGCATATTTTTTTTTTTTTTATCTCCAAAAGGAACTATTCATTTTGCAAACCTGGCTATTTTTATCTGTAAATAATAGATTTTTCCTTGTTGGATTGGATGTTTTGTTGAATTAGATCTGATGCTACTGTTGTGCCATATGCCATGATCATGGTTTTTGGGAATTGAGAACCAGTGTCCATATTTCATCTTGACATGATGACCAGAGAAGAAAATACAGTTTTGGTGAAAAAACAGCTGTAAGACCTCTGCAACCCCCAATTTCAGCCAAGGCCTCCACAAGACCTCCAACACAGGTGTGATTTGCCAGCCCCCTCTGTGTTGAGAACATTGAAAACCACAACACACAGGATTTTCCCTTTCTTTTTCCCCATGAAGCTTCCTGGGGTAAGGTGACCAGATTTCTGAAATCAAATCTGGGGACATTTCTTGCTCATGGATAAAAATCAATACATCTTATCGAGATGAAATTAGGAAACGGGGACAGTAATGGTTTCATATATTTTTACATATTTATTAATATTTAAACAA